TTGCATTGCAAATTCCTTTTTTCAATATGTAAGAATCATTTTTGCAATACTAGAAAAGTGAAATTTTGAGAAACAGTTTATAGACTTTCGTTCAAACCAATTAAAGCTTGAACTGTCTTTTGGTTTAAGCATCTGAACCTTAGAATATGAAATCAATGAAGCCACTTTTGAAGTAGGGCTGGAAAGCGTTATAGGAGAAGGAGAAGAAAGACCATTGTACAATGGCACCATGACTGTGAATGGAAATAATGTCAGCAGTCTCACTAGCCTCAGCAGCATTGCGAACAATGATACCACTACCATATGACAATCATCATGGTGGTTCATCCTGGAGACCATCTTGTTTTGAATTATCAATACCCGCAAACAGTCTCGTGCTATACTGCCAACGATTGTACCAAATTCAGTAATGAAACACACTTTGGCATCTATGGAAACCCCTATCATTTTCAGTTGAAAGAGGTCAACAAGAACTCTACCTTTGTCTATCAGCAAGAGATTTTTAACAATACTACTGCAATCATGGGTGATCATGATGATGATGATAATGATAGTAATGGCTGCAATGATGATGGTTCCTACACAAACGCCCGGACCTTTGTAGTCCACTCACTTTGTCTGCCACAAAGTCTGTACTGGCCAATACAAAATCCAGATCGAGTTGGAATGGTGGACCATGGCCTCATATTTCTGATGGCGGTGGGCACACTGGGCTTGAAATCTCTGGCCTTACTCAAATAGTCAAAAGAAAAAAAGCGCCTGATGAGTTTGCCCACAAATAATGAATAATATTGATAGCAATGTTGCTGATATTGAGCAATGATGGGGTCTTTGAATACAGAATTCAGGATTCATGCCAATTGCCAAACACTTGAATCACTCTTTATCAGCCTCAGAGCGCTTTTTGACCTCAAGATTGTTATAACCATACTCGGGTTTTGTCACATTGATCCTTGTGGTTCAAAGGGTATGCAATTTTGTCATTGATTTGGCCTGAATCAAGCATACAGCAGTGGCCTATGTTTTGCCCCAAAAACAGTATTTGTCGAATGGTGGGCCTAATTTCTTTGAATTTCTTTATTATAACATACATTTATTCTCTATGGTTACATGTAGCAACAATGGGTTGGCTGTGTTGAGAGTTTTCTAGGTAGAAGGGATCAAACTGCATACATTTGACCTGGATGATCAATTGGGCCTACAGTCCTCTTTCCGAGGGCCCCATGCAGTTACCCAGACAAGGTTTGACCGCCATAAAAGTTGTTATTGTACCTATAGGGATCAGTATTTGGCGATGGTATGGAGTGTAACGATGGAAAAGAGATGTTCGGCAACTGTTTTTCTTTTGACTTCATTCCAACATTTCAGATGACTCCGTGGAAATGTGTGAATCTGATCGGTCCTACACCAAATATTGTAATTCAAAGTGCATACACCACTAATCTGTATACATTAAGCAAATAGTGCACATCCAAAAAACAAGATATGTGATCACAACAAGGTCATTTGTACGGTTTGAGGCTCTGCTTGCCTCTTGGTTACTACTTTTGAATCGCACGAGTATATAGTACCGATAGTTAAAAAATCTGAAAATAAATCTAAACGGACAGATTTCGGACAGATTTCGGGCGTAATACGTTTGACGTCGTCCCGCTAATATTATTGTATGACTGAAGTTTGTTCCGGACGACCACCAAATATGGGTCATACAGTGGTACAATAATAGTTCACCAAATTGAAGCGACCCAGCCCTATGCTGATCAAATGTGAAATTTAGCCCATTTATATTCTACAGAGAATACAACCGTGTTTGCACCCGCCGCATCGCACGCCACAATTGAAGGAATCATCCACCTGCAGAACTTATTCTTTGCATATTTTATCATCATGGTGGTGCCCAACATACGAAACCCAAATCGCCATCGCACTCTTCAGGTAGCCACGCCAACCAAGTCACAGTATGATCTAGAACCTGAAAATACCTTTGCATGCAGGCACGTTGGAAGACGCACAAAGGGAGGAATTGGAGGAGGAACTGCAGGTGGATTTATAATTCTCCATAGCAGCGAAGCCTACCGTTCCAATGGATGTAATGGAACTGGCAACGGGAGTGCTGTTGCGATTGTTCTTGCCTTGGTTGGCGTGTGCCTTGCATTCATTGGCATCGCTTTCGAATGTAGCAAATCGGAAAAGAAACGCAACGAGAATCGCGGTGACATTGGGACCACTCGAAATTCCATTTATCGTCAGCGGAGTCAACGAGCCGTTGCCAACAACAGCACCGCTCCAAGCAACGACAATGCTACATCGGCTAATGCCGATCAGATTCATACTACATCAAACATCATCAACAGCCCATCAGGTGGGGATCCAACTCCATACGTTACCGGACTCATCATTCCTGAACGGAATATCGCAATGAAATCGAACTTTTACTTTCAAACTGTGTTGCTGGATAAGAGTAACATTGATCCAAGTGCCCTTAGAGAAGAAGCTGAAATTGCTGGAGATAGTGTGATTGAAAATGGTGTTCCACCTGGCAAAAGGGGAATCAATAAGGTTGCTAACAATTCCTCTCAAGTGTCGTCCAGATTTCTCATGTCTGCTTGGAGACGATCCACCCTGAACGACGAATGTTCGATTTGTCTACAATCGTACGAACCTGGACAAACCATCTGCTTGGCAAAGAATACTCTGTGTAATCATGTCTTCCATCAGGACTGCATTGAGGAATGGTTCAACAAGGATCACTCAGATTGTCCGCTGTGCCAAGTAAATCTCGTTTGCAAACCGCTATAATCATGGCATTATACAGAGAAACAGTATGTGAGCCTTAACGTTTTTACGTTCAATGTTAGTTCTACATTGTAGCTGAAATCAAACCGACGTGTAGAATGTCTTTGACATCATTCTCCTCTCCCCTCAAAAATGTATGGCTATTACCATTGCAGGTATTATACTTGTATTATACTGTACGTGTACTGTTCCTCATATAGTGTTTTTGGTCGTTCGAGTCAAACATTGGAAAAATGTGGTAGTATAGTTCTATACTGTACATTCAGTCGCCCCTTGAGCGATTGTGAAATACGAATAGCCGCTTTTGTCATTTTGGAGTTTTGGTGGAAACCATCATCTCAATGAGTTATCGCTGAATGTTCAGCAGAAAGAGCCGCCAGCAGAAACCTGCCGTTTCTACCTACTACTGATGCACCAGCACACCCATCATCGTCGCCACATTGCGTTTTCTTTCTGGTGGTTCAGATCAGTAGAAAGTTGGAATTTGGGAAACACCGATGACGCCTGACTGAAGCTTATTGTTCTGGTAGATCTACAAGTACCAAGAGTATAATGTAGGTACCGGTAGCGTAGCATTCAAGTACTGCCTTTTCGCGACCACAAATGGACAGTTTAGATAGCTGTGATACAAACGCGCGCGATCCCCTGGAATTGCGGCACCAGAATTCTTCGAATCTAATATATCTGCAACATGCATAATATGCAACAACATGTGGACTTCATATATTACTTCTCGTGATGGTCGTGCCCAACATTCGAAACCCCAATCGTTACCGCACTCTTCAGGTAGCCACGTCAACCAAGTCACAATATCACCTAGAACCT